TATGTCTGTTGCATCAATTTCGGAACGTTTAACTGAAGCTGCAGGTGATAAAATTTGTATGACGGAAAACAGTGCGTCTATCGATACAGCCTTTACGGGGGAAATATGTATAATATTAGAAAATATTAAAAAAAAAAAAAAAACGAAAGCAATTGATAAATCTTGCGGATTTCATTTAACAAAATCAAAGTAGGATTGTTATCCGTGGCTAAGCTATATCGAAACCGGGTATCTTGACGATCATGCTGGACTTAGGTAAGAATAAGAAAAACAAAGGAATAATCTGTTTTATTTTATATGTTAAATGTTACAGTTGGTGATTGTTTAATTACTATCGATGGAAAGGATGTAATAGGACTAAAAATAATACAAATAACGGCTTTAATCCACTATTATGAAGGATGTGATTTAAAATAATTTATCTGGAGATACATTAACAAAGGTGAAAAAAAATAAGTCATAGTTGTCAAAGCAGCACTGCCAGCAGTGGCCTTCAAACTTGCAAATGCAATAATTGGAGTGATGTGTATACTCCGATAATAGACATTTCCTTTATTATTAAAGAATTGCTCTTTAAATGTTTCTAGATATACGTTACGATATTTTAGAAAAATAACTACTACATCTATTTAAACCCGGGTTCTAGAATGCCCATTTTGTCCGGAAAGCTCAATGCCACCAATTCCTCAGTGTGTTCATGGTGATATCATTTGTATTGGATGTAGATCGAAAACACGTCAAATTGGACGTTAATTCGTCAAACACGAGAAAACGTCTGCTCCGATATTATATGATAATCTATGATTTATTTATTATCCAATAACACAAATAGTTATTAACTAATGCCAGTAAACGTTAATTTAATTGAAGTTTATGGTATTAAAAAACGTGCGATTTATATCTTCGAATTATATGTTTTATGTATCGAAAGTAAATTCGAAACTTGAGAGTGATCACATTTATTCTTGATTAATAATTTTGACATTAAATCGATAAATGTCTTAAATAAACTTTGTTCATTGCCACGACCGCGTTGCTGTATAGTTAAATTAGTCGCGGTAACTTTTACCTTACTGTAGTACAAGGTATTTACGCTAGAGTGAGCCACAGATCTATGCTGGTTCACAATTTTCATGTACCGGTCATCCATGTTTTTCAGATTTGTAAGTAGGTCATAATTCTTGATGTTTTTTTTTCGATTCTTTCGCAAATTTTCAAAATAGGTTCGGAATAATTTAACTTAAAATTGATAAATAGGAGAATATTCCAAGATTTTGTGCTAAAATTCGATTATCACAAAGAGCTTGTGAGAAATATACAAATTTCAAATACGAGGATATAAGAAGTGTAAAAATGACATCGGTTGATTCCAGCAAAGTAGCTGATGTTGAAGTTAAAAATGAGAATGATATATCAACATCAGAAGTAATGCAGACAGATAATGATCAAAGTTCAAATACCTCAACTATTGCAAAAGTTGAAGAGGAAACTGTGGTTACTTCAGAAATATCCACTTGTAATAAAGCATTATACTCTTTCTGCAAAGAAAAAAGTATAGTGAATGCTCTAACTGTTGGAGAAGTGGGTACTCTCGAAGTTCATGCCGTACTAAAGAATAACACATACGGTATTACATTATTGCCTAATAATGCAGAACATCAATTTGATAAAGTAATGGCCTCATTAGCTGCAGTCCCGGAAGATTTTGAACGTACAATAAATAAGTAAATAATAGCAATGTGCTACACATTATTTCAACAAATTAAACGTTAATATAGTTTGTAAAATTATTAATTTTTAGTCTAAATATAGAAGATATGTTCTATGGTCAACAAGCGGACAAAGAGTGGGTTAGAGGATATATTGTATCTGAGCTACCATTCTTAAAAATTGCTAATATAGACGAAGCTAAAGTAGAGACAATTAAAAATATTACTACATGCGAACAAATCGCTTTAGATACTTATGCATTTAGTGCACTATGTGAAATAACTGATGATAGGCATAAATTGGAAGTAAGATCTGTAATATCGAATATGTTGTTAAATATAATGTATGTTAATTCTTAATTTCTCAATTATAAATCCTAGGATGGTGATATATGTGAGTATGAAGTACTAGGCCGAACACATATTAAGGAACAAGACGGATATGAAATATTAATTTATACAGATGATTCTAAGATAAAAGCTACTGTAAAGCCTTGGATTCCAACCCTTCAACAATTGGGAACACAGTGTGCTGAAGTGAATAATGAAACTGAGGTATGATTTTTGGTTTTAATCTAAATAAAAATAATTATTATTTTACTATTATTTTATTTATTTTACTATTGCTTTTGGACAAAGTATCATTTCTTTATGAAAACCATTTTTCCAGGTATGCGTTACTGGTTATCGAGATCATATACATATGTACGTTCGTCCCATAAATACTGTAGGTTTGGAACATTATAACCATGTTATGCAAACTATTGCGAAATGCGCTGAAACATGTACGTAATATAGTTGATAACATTTAATAAGAATTAAGCTAACTCTGTATAAGTTCGTATAAAATAAAAATACCATTTTCTTTTTCTTTTCTTGAAGCTCCATTTTTAAGAAAACCACCAAATGTTGGGGATGCGGTAATAGTTCAGTCTGCTGACGAAAATTATTATCGTGCATTTGTTACTAGGGTACAAGATGATAGAATTACAATTTTATATCTTGATCTTGGTAGAAAAGAAGTTATTACAGATATGAAGAAACTTAAGATTTTACCTGATAATTTGAAGAAGGTGGGTTATAATTTAATATACGTATGATAATATAGTTTAGAAGTATTTATATCTATTTAATCTACTAATCCAATTTTTAAAAAAGGTCCGCTTTTCTATGACAAAGCTCTTACTAAAAGATGTCCCTAGAGATATTCCTCTGATAAAAGAAGTAGATGATTATCTGGCTCACATAGTAGCAAGTAAAGTTCCCCTGTTATGTACATATGATGGTATACCTTCCCTAGATGGTGTATATCTGAAATTTCATGATGGAGAAACCCTTAATAATATGATATGTAAATGTATCGAGTCGACTTTTGAGGAACTTTCTGAGTAAATAGAAGAATGAATCTCAGAATCAGTTGCTTCGGATAGCTGTATTAAAACAAAAATTATTGAGCGTGAACTTGTATCTGTGTCGTCTATAATGTGTAATTACCATTGGTTAAAGACAAATTAATTGGTGAATGTTGAATATCAGATCGGGTAAAAAAAAGAAACACAAAAAAACATGCATCTCATTATGCAAAAGGAGAACATATTAGTTATAATATTTGAAGCTAAAATTGAGATACTTTTAGTTAAAATAGTTAAAACATGATTTGTTTCTTGAAAGTATTTTAACATTTCTAGAAGACATTCCACTCTTTGATATTATTGTGTCTTCTCAAATAGTATGTAAGATCAGTACTTTTTGAACACCCTTTTTACATTTACTTTTGTGAATATTATATTTTATTTCGGTGAATCTCTATATTCAACATTCCTTCTGCAAGACTTGTATTTTGTGTACAATTTATAATAAATGTGAAGTGAAAATAAAGGGTATAAATAAGAGTTCAATGCAGTTAATTCCATACTGAAAGATAAATTTGTCGACTGTGGTAATCTTTTCACTAATAAAAATTATGAACTTTTTATAATTTTATAATAGGCATTTTTTGTGTGTTCAGTACCTAATTTAATTGAAGTTATAGCTGATTTGATGATTTATCATCCTAACCTATCTCACAATCAGCTTACTAACGTACTTGATGTGTCTGTTCAGACGACAGATCGCTGTAAGCAACTGTCCGATTTAAATGATACCGGGCGTTCAAGCAATAGAAATAATAAATGATGCATGTTCAGATAAGACACTCTTACAGGGATCTACTACGTAAGAATACTAATACCATGAAAGGATGGCATATTTATGACAGCGTTTATGCATCAATACAGGTGATATATATGTCGGAGAAGAGCCAGGAACAGGGTTGTGGGCGTTTGATAGACCTCCCTTGGAGTTGGCCATCGTTGTGTTATAACGAAGATACGGCCTGATACTACGAGTATGGACACTACCGATTCGCCATTCCTTCGAACCAGTAATGCTCGTATAGTTTCTCGAGCGTTTTATCCCAACCTAAGTGCATAATTGACTGTTGCACACGACGAATCCACGGTGAACGGGATGAAAGATATACTTGCTCTAACTCAAACGTGTACTACTCACGGATCGTACGGCGCTAGACCCTTCGTCGATGAGATCTCCAGAAAGAATGGATTTTCGTCCCCATGATGCCACAGAGGAAAACTACGATGGGGTGTGTCTAAGGACACGAGATCATCGGATTCGTCGGGTATAGCCCTCGTTCCGAAAGTAAGGAAAATTGACGTCGCTGTCAATTGGTCAATTTGGGACAAAGACTGTCTGTCCGTTTGGAAAATCTTAATTACCGAAAAAACCCAGGTTTTATAGCGGGTCCTCAGGCTAACTGGACTTGTGCTGCGTAAGTGCCTCAACATCTGGTATTCGTTGTCCGAAGGAACCGTTGGAATGTTTTACTGTCAAGTACCTGTATGGGTATTTCTTTTAATGATAGTCATACTATAACTCCACACCTTTGTTAGACGAAGCGCCCGTCCCGTTGACCGCGGCTACGTTCGGCGACTGATGATCGCCTTGAGCCCAAGTTTATTATCACAAATCGCAAACAAGTACAATTGGGCAGAATGACGGTAAATTGTTTAGTTACGACTGAAAACTTTAATTACAATTTTACGGATTTTCCCGAAGTTCCAGAGGGAAGGCTTCGGTGTCCTTTCATCTCCGACACGGCCATCCTGACTATCACACGTCCCCGTGTGTAACTAAAATATTGAGTTTTTCCAATATTAGATTCGGTACAAATAACACTATTTACAACTTAACTAAATCAAGGGTCCGGTTTAACAGCAAATTTTGTTCAGAGATTTGGTAACACAAGGAATAAGAGAAACAAATTAATGACATCATGATTGGTATTCAAAATGCTAGTTGTATCCTGCAGGTTGTTAATCTGGTCGCAATGACATGATGGACCATTCTCGATGTCGCACCTACGTGAATCTGGTTTTCTGGATCGCACGATCGCCCAATGGTACATTTAACCCGTTGCTCGGCCTTCCTGGCCTTTCTTATATTATCGCTCCGGACGCATGTGGAATCCCTCACAGGTAGGGTGCATCACACGGCCACATCGAGCTTCCTTACATTACTCTCCTAGGGGGTATCGTGCTTCTAATCCTCCGAGATCGGGGTACTCATATCGCCATGGTCACTGTTCTCGCCATCGCTACAGACGTCCAATTCGGCAGGGATACGACTATTCGGCATTTTCTTCAACCAATATATAAAATGATCATAAAACCAATCTGGACGTACGGAATAGCACTATGGGGAACAGCAGCAATGAGCCATATAACCAAAATAGAGGCAACGCAATCGAAAATACTCAGAACAATAGTAAACGCGCCATGGTACGTTAGGAAAGAGGACATTCGGAAAGACCTGGGAATACCAACGGTCAAGGAGGAGATTAACAAAAGTGCAAAAAGGCACGGAGAAAGAATAGCAACGCACCCAAACCGGCTGGCAGCGGAAACGGTCGACACATCAAGCATAAAAAGAAGATTAAAAAGGAAACACCCAACAGATCTCACAAAGG